TGCGATCTCAGCTCACTGCAACCTCCGCCTCCCAGGTTCAAGCGATTCTCCTGCCTCAACCTCCTGAGTAGCTGGGATTACAGGCACGTGCCACCACGCCCAGCTAATTTCTGTGTTTTTAGTAGAGATGGGGTTTCAACATCTTGGCCAGGCTGGTCTCGAACTCCTGACCTTGTGATCCACCCACCTCGGCCTCCCAAAGTGCTGGGATTACAGGCGTGAGCCACCGCACCCAGCCCAATTTTTTGTATTTTTAGTAGAGACGGGGTTTCACCATCTTGGCTAGGCTGGTCTCAAACTCCTGATCTCAGGTGAGCCACTGCACCCAGCCCCCATTTCGTTTTTTTTTCGAGATGAGGTCTCACTTTGTCACCCAGGCTGGAGTGCAGTGGTGGGATCATAGCTCACTGCAGCCTTGAACTCCTGGGCTTAAGCAATCCTTCCACCACAGCCTCCCAAGTAGCTGGGACCACAGGTGTGCGGCACCACATCCGGCTAATGTATTTTTGTTAGAGACAGGGTCTTACCATGTTACCCAGGCTCCTGGGCTCAAGCAATCCTCCTGCCTCAGCCTCCCAAAGTGCTGAGATTACAGGCATAAACCACAGCACCTGGCTAACTTTCTTTCTCTTTTTTTTTTTTTTAGGAGATGGGGTTTCACCATGTTGGCCAGGATGGTCTCGATCTCTTGACCTCGTGATCCGCCCGCCTCAGCCTCCCAAAGTGCTGGGATTACAGGCGTGAGCCACCGCGCCCAGCGCTAACTTTCTTTTTGATTTTTTTTTTTTTTTTTTGTAGAGATGGAGTCTCACTCTGCTGCCCAGGCTGGTCTTGAACTCTTGGGCTCAAATGATCCTCCCTCCTTGTCCTTCTGAAATATTTTAATTGTATCTGAAACGCCCTCTTCTCTCCCACTCTCCCTCCCACACTCTCATACAGTCTCCTCATGCATTGAATATGCATTTAGTGAGCACCTACTAGGACCAAGAACTGTTAAAAATGCTACTGCATATCACGACAGGGACATCTGCCCTCAGAGAGCTCCCAGTCTGGTTCAGGGAGACCAACAGTAAGCGAGAAAACGACCCAAGGTCATTTCAGAAAATGAACAATCCCAGGAAGGCCATGAGCCAGGGGACCTGTGTGGCCCTGAAAGACTGGCTGGGAAGGGGCTACAGGGACCACGGTAGTCAAGGGAGGCCTTTGGGGACAGGAAGTGACACTGAGCTGAGATTGGAAGGAGCTGTGTGAGGAGGCTGGGTGGAGACGGTGGAGGAAAGCTTCAGGAAGGTGAAGCCACCTGTCCAAAGGCCCTGGGGCAGGTGAGGACTGGGCCTGCGGAGGTGGAGGAACAGTGAGGAGGCCCATGTGGCTGGGTAAGCCTTAGGAGGGGGAGAAAGGAAGGTGTGGGGTGGTACAGGGCCCCAGGGCCCTAAGAGGGAGGCCAGGTGCCTGGAGTCCTAGCCAGCATCGACAGCGCGGGGCCACCCCCCACACCCTCACACACCCCCTCACTGGGCATCAGGGAGGAATTTAGAGTGTCCAGGAGGAATCCGGGATATTGAGGAGGTATCCTGGGTGTCAGGGAGGAATTCGGGGTGTCAGGGAATAATTTGGGGTGTTGGGGAGGAATCTGGAGTATCTGGGAGGGATCCTGGGTGTTGGGGAGAAATCCAGGGTGTCAGAGAGGGATCCTGGTGCCAGGGAGGAACTCAGGGTGTTCAGGAGGAATCTAGGGTATTGGAGAGGGATTCTGGGTGTCATGGAGGAATTTGGGGTGTTTGGGAGGAATCTAGGGTATTGATGAAGGATCCTGGGTGTCAGGGAGGGATTTGGGGTGTCAGGGAGAAATTGAGAGAAATATGGGATGTCAGGTAGGAAGCTTGGGTATCAGGAATTTGGGGTGAGGAGGAATACGGGGTTTCAGGTAGGAATCCTGGGCGTTGGGGAGGAATCCGGGGTGTCAGAGAGGAATACGGGGTGTCAGGGAGAAATCTGGGATATTGGGGAGGGATCCTGGGTGTCATGGAGAAATTCCGGGTGTCAGGAAGAAAACTGGGGTATTGGGGAGGGATCCTGGATATCAGAGAGGTATCCGAGGTGTCAGACAGAAATTCAGGGTGTTGGGAGAAATATGGGGTGTCAGGCAGGAAGTCTGAGTGTCAGAAATTTGGGGTGAGGAAGAATATAGATTTTCATTCAGGTAGGAATCCTGGGTGTTGGGGAGGAATCCGGGGTTTGGGGTAGGGGTCAGGCTGTTGGGGAGGAAGTCGGGGTGCTGAGGAGGATCTCCACAGTTGGGGAGGATCTGGACCACCAGGGAGGGGAGCTGGCGGTTGAGAAAAACCTCAACCTCCCGACCGCGGCGCCAGGCGCCCCGGGGCCCTAAGAGGGAGGCCAGATGGCCTGGAGTCCCCGCGAGCGGAACGGGTGGAGGCCACCCCCCAAACCCCCCCACACACCGCGTCCACCTCGTGCCGTCCTCGCCCCTTCCCCACCTACCAGGGATCCACACCGCGGGGTCCTGGGGGGACGGGGCCTTCTGCGGAGGTGCCCGGGAACGCAGCGCGCTGAGGGCGCCGGCTCCACCCCGCGGCCAAGCCCTGGGAGGAAGCGCGCCGCCCCTTCCGCGTCCCGGGTGGGTGTGGGCCGTGACGTCACGGTTTCGGAGTGCGGCCCCCGGCACCGGGAAAGTCCCCGGGGCGCCCCGCACCCAGGCCCTCTCTCCCCAGCCCGGGCGGTCACGTTCGGCAGGTGTGAGCACCTGCTGTATGCAGGGCGCGGTGGGGGGAGGCCACAGGTCATCTGGGCTGGGGGCGCAGAGGAGAAAGTAACCCCAAGAGTGAGATCATCTCCGTTGGTGACCCGTGCTTTCCAGAAAACAAACGCAGCAGCTGTTTTTATTTTTTAATCTCTATTTTTTTTTTTTTTTTTTTTTGAGACAGAGTCTCGCTCTGTGACCCAGGCTGGAGGGCAGTGGTGCGATCTCAACTCACTGCAGCCTCCACCTCCCGGGTTCAAGCAATTCCCCTGCCTCAGCCTCCTGAGTAGCTGGAACTACAGGCATCAGCCACCATTCCGCGCTACTTTTTTGTGGTTAATTTTTTTTTTTTTTAAGAGACAGGGTTTCATCATGGTGGTCAGGCTGGTCTTGAACTCCTGACTTCAGGTGATCCGCCCGCCTCGGCCTCCCAAACTGCTGGGATTACAGGTGTGAGCCACCCTGCCCAGCCTAAATTTTTGTATTTTTAAAAGAGATGGGGTTTCACCATGTTGGGTAGGCTGGTCTGGAACTCCTGACTTCAGGTGATCCACCTGCCTTGGCCTCCAAAGTGCTGGGATTACAGGTGTGAGCCACCGTGCCCGGCCTAATGTTATTTATTGATTGATTGATTGAGACACAGTCTCACTGTTGCCCGGGCTGGAGTGCAGTGGCGCGATCTCTGCTCACTGCAACCTCTGCCTCCCAGGTTCAAGCAATTCTCCTGCCTCAGCTCCCCAAGTAGCTGGGATTACAGGGAGCCAGCCACCTCGCCCGGCTAATTTTTTTTTTTTTTTTTGAGACGGAGTTTCGCTGTCGTTGCCCAGACTGGAGTGCAATGGCAGGATCTCGGCTCACCGCAACCTCCGCCTCCTGGGTTCAAGCAATTCTCCTGCTTCAGCCTCCCGAGTAGCTGGGACTACAGGCACACACCACCATGCCCAGCTAATTTTTGTATTTTTAGCAGAGACGGGGTTTCACCATGTTGACCAGGATGGTCTCGATCTCTTGACCTCGTGATCCACCCGCCTCGGCCTCCCAAAGTGCTGGGATTATAGGCGTGAGACACCGCGCCCGGCCTAATTTTTGTATTTTTAGTAGAGACAGTGTTTCCCCGTGTTGGCCAGGCTGGTCTTGACCTCCTGACCTCATGTGATCTACCTGCCTCAGCCTCCCAAAGTGCTAGAATTACAGCCACCGCATCCTACCTCATTTTATTATTATAATAATTACTGTTATTTGAAAGGGGGTCTCCCTATATTGCCCAGGCTGCTCTCAAACTCCCAGTCTCAAGCAGTCCCCCCGCCTCGGCCTCCCAAAGTGCTGGGGTGACAGGTGTGAGCCAACTCGCCCGGCCTGTAATTTTATTTTTATCACCGCATTAAATACGGTCTAATAATCACAGTGATTTTGCAGTAGTGACAAGTGTTGGGGTGTGTTTCCAGTTACAATGCAATCTGAAAGTATCTGTGGCTTTTATTAGGTACAAATGGACAAAGTCCCAGGTCCTGCTGCTGTCTTCATTCATAATTGAGGAAATGGTAAATATCAGAGTCAGTGAAAAGAAAGATGTGAATTTTTTCCCTCCATCAAAGTTCACAGACACTGAACACCCCCAAGAGGTTCAGGGACCCCAGGCTGAAGTACACCTAAAAGTTCTTATGGGGGCCAGGAACCTTGGCTCATTCCTATAATCCCAGCACCTTGGAAGACCGGGGTGGGTTTATCACTTGAGGTCAGGAGTTCAAGACTAGCCTGGCTAACATGGTGAAAACATGTCTTCGCTACTTAATAATATTTTAAAAATTAGCTGGGCATGGTGGCGCGTGCGCCTGTAGTCCCAGCTGCTCTGGGGGCTGAGGCAGAAAAATTGGCTGAACCCGGGAGGCAGAGGGTGCAGTGAGCTGAGATCGCGCCCTTGCACTCCAGCCTGGGCTACAAGAGCAAAACTCCGCCTCAAAAAAAAATGTCTCGTGGGGAGATGGCAGTGGAAGTTATGTTGACGTCCAGTCCCCCGGAGTGCCCCATATTTAGTGCCCCTCTCTAGCGAGGGAGAAATGTTATTAAGCACTTACTGTGTTCCAGGCCTGTCTAGGCTCTGGGAACACAGTAGGGAGGGAGACAGAAATGCTTTGTTTCAAGTCCTCCAGGGCTAGTGGGGAGAGAACGTTAAACACATCCTCCGGCCTCTCTGTCTCCCACTCCAGCACTCCAATTCAAGGAGTGTCTCACAGGTGCTTGTCCCCATGAAAAACAGTGGTTTTTTGTTTTTTTTTTGAGATGGAGTCTCGCTCTGTTGCCCAGGTTGGAGTGCAGTGGCGAGATCTTGGCTCACGGCAAACTCCGTCTCCCAGGTTCAATCGATTCTCCTGCCTCAGCCTCCCGAGTAGCTGGGATTACAGGCATGCGCCACCACACCCAGTGAATTTTTGTATTTTTAGTAGAGATGGGGTTTCGCCATGTTGGCCAGGCTGGTTTAGAACTCCTGACCTCAGGTGATCTGCCTGCCTCAACCTCCCAAAGTGCTGGGATTACAGGTGTGAGCCACTGTGCCCAGACTTTTTTCTTTTTTTTTGAGATGGAGTCTCGCTCTATCATCAGGCTGGAGTGCAGTGGCTCGATCTCGGTTCACTGCAAGCTCTACCTCCCGGGATCAAAGGATTTTCCTGCCCCAGCCTCCCCAGTAGCTGGGACTACAGGTGCACACCACCATGCCCAGCTAATTTTTGTATTTTTAGTAGAGACGGAGTCTTACCATGTTGGACAAGATGGTCTCAATCTCTTGACCTCATGATCAGCCCGCCTCAGACTCCCAAAATGCTGGGATTACAGGGGTGAGCCACCACACCCGGCTTTTTTTCCTTTTAAGAGGTGGGATTTAAGGGCCAGGCGCGGTGGCTCAAGCCTGTAATCCCAGCACTTTGGGAGGCCGAGGCGGGTGGATCATGAAGTCAAGAGATCAAGACCATCCTGGTCAACATGGTGAAACCCCGTCTCTACTAAAAATACAAAGCATTAGCTGGGCATGGTGGCGCATGCCTGTAATCCCAGCTACTCAGGAGGCTGAGGCAGGAGAATTGCCTGAACCCAGGAGGCGGAGGTTGCGGTGAGCCGAGATTGCGCCATTGCACTCCAGCCTGGGTAACAAGAGTGAAACTCTTTCTCAAAAAAAGAAAAAAAAAAAAAAAAAAAAAAAAGAGGTGGGATTTCACTCTGTCGCCCAGGCTGGAGTGCAGTAGCACCATCATAGCTCAAAGTAGCCTCCAATTCTGGGCCTCAAACGATCCTTCCACCTGAGCCTCCCAAGTAGCTGGGACTACAGGCATGCAAAACTGTGTTGGACTATTTTTAATTTTTTTTTGTAGAGACAGGGTCTCACTATGTTACCCAGACTGGTCCCCGACTCCTGGCTTTAAGAGATTGTCCCAGTTTGGCCTCCCAAAGTGGTGGTATTACAGGCGTGAGTCACTGTGACTGTGCGTTGGTGGTCATCTGATCAATGCCTTTTTTTTCTTTTTTGTTTTTTGTCTGAGACAGGGTCTCAGTCAGCCGCCCAGGCTGGAGTGCAGTGTTGTGATCCCTGTCACTGCAGGCTTGACGTCCTGGGCTCAGGCAGTCCTTCCACCTCAGCCTCTGAGTAGCTGGGACTGCAGGTGCATGCCACCATGCCTGGCTCATCTTTTTAAAAACATTTTCTTTTGTAGAGATGATGTCTTGCTGTGTTGCCCAGGTTGGTTTCAAACTCCTGGCCTCAAGCAGTCCTCCTGCCTTGGCTTCCCAAAGTGTTGGAATTACGGGCGTGAGCCACTGTGCCTGCTTTGATCAATGTCTTAAAACAACCTTTTCTCCATCAAAATGGATTTGATGGTTCCCATTTTACAGATGAGAAAACTGAGGCTCAGAGAAGGTAATGGCTGAAGCACCCAGACTTCCAGGGCTGCCGATGGATCAGATGGGTGAATTTGATCACTTGCAGACAGGTGCAGTTGCCCCTCTTCTTACTTATTTATTTATTTATTTGTGACAGAGTCTTGCTCTGTAGCCCAGGCTGGAGTGCAGTGGAGTGATCTTGGCTCACTGCAACCTCCAATTCCCGGGTTTAAGCAATTCTCCTGCCTCAGTCTCTCAAGTAGCTGGGATTACAGGCATGTGCCATGCCCAGCTAATATTTTTGTATTTTTAGTTAAAGACAGGGTTTCATCACGTTGGCCAGGCTGGTCTCGAACTCCTGACCTCATGATCTGCCGCTCTCAGCCTCCCAAAGTGCTGGGATTACAGGTGTGAGCCATGGGCCTGACCACACCCTCTTCTTCAATGAAAGAAACAGGCCGGGCGCGGTGGCTCACGCCAGTAATCCCAGCACTTTGGGAGGCCAAGGCCAGAGGATCACCTGAGGTCAGGAGTTCAAGACCAGCCTGACCAACATGGAGAAACCCCGTCTCTACTACAAATACAAAATTAGCCAGGCTTGGTGGCACACGCCTGTAATCCCAGCTACTTGGGAGGCTGAGGCAGGAGAATCACTTGAACCCAGGAAGTGGAGGGTGCAGTGAGCCGAGACCATGCCACTGCACTCCAGCCTGGGCAACAAAACACGACTTCGTCTCAAAAAAAAAATTTTATTTCTCACAGTTCTGAAGGCTGGGAAGTCCAAGATCAAGACGCTGGCAGGCCAGGCACAGTGGCTCACACCTGTAATCCCAGCACTTTGGGAGGATGTGGCGGGAGGATCGCTTGAGCTCAGGAGTTCAAGACCAGCCTGGGCAACATAGTGAGACCCTGTCTCTACAAAATAAATAAATGAATAAATAAATGACCCAGCCTAAGGTATTTCTGTGATAGCAGCAGGGACAGATGAAAACACACATGTGCGTACACGCGCGCACACACAGCCTGTATGCAGTTGTAAGTGAAGTTTATTAAGGCAATACCGAATGCCAGGGCGTGTCAACAAGGCATGCCAGACAGGCCCCAGCACCCTTCTGCTCTACATTGAAGCTCAGAAGCTCAGCGGTCTATCCCGTCCCCAGGAGGCCCACTTAGACCAGAAATCCAAGTCCACGCACTACAGGCTGATATCCAGGGTCATCGGTGTGGACAAAGTGGGACAGAGACTATACCCCCAATTTTTTTTTTTCTTTTTTTTTTTAGACGGAGTTTCACTCTTGTTACCCAGGCTGGAGTGCAATGGCGCGATCTCGGCTCACTGCAACCTCCGCCTCCTGGGTTCTGGCAATTCTCCTGCCTCAGCCTCCTGAGTAGCTGGGATTACAGGCACGCGCCACCATGCCCAGCTAATTTTTGTATTTTTTGTAGAGACGGGGTTTCACCATGTTGACCAGGATGGTCTCGATCTCTTGACCTTGTGATCTACCCGCCTCGGCCTCCCAAAGTGCTGGGATTACAGGCTTGAGCCACCGTGCCCGGCCTATATCACCAGTTTTTAACAAGGAAAAACAGAATTCTGGTTGGGGGGCAACCTTCCTGGAAAATATTTTTCTGGAAATCTCTTTCTACTGACTGATAGGGTGAGGCTCAGAATATGCTTCTTCCAAGCTCAGAGGGGGTGAGGGATTGGTCAGCGCGGTGATGGCCCAGTTTTGAGAGCCTTCGCTTCCCAACTGACAGCACAGAAGAGCTGGGAGAAGGGGCTAAGAGAATCGGTTTGAAATGGGCCCCGGATTGAGGACTCCAGAGCTGCAGCACGGAGACGGGGCCCCCGAGTCCTCTCCCCTCCCCCTATTTCTTCTCCTCTGGGGCTTTCTCAGTGATTCCGGGGGCAAAGGGTCCCACGAGCCACGTGACAGGTGTATTCTGGGCCACGTATTCCACCATGTGGTCCAGGGCCTCGCGGGCGCTGGCCACGCGCTCACGGCTCTGGGCCAGGATGCTGCTGGACAGGTCCTGGAAGGAGTGGATGCTGGAGAAGGTGGCTTGGAGCTCCTCCATCTGGCGGCGGGCCTGCTGCACCTGATCCTTCACATTGCTGGGGAGGCCCTGGATGCTGGACCCCAGGGAGGTGCACGTGGCCTGGAGCTGCTGGGCGATGTCCCGGAACATGGTGAGAGCCCGGGACTCCACCTGCTGAGAAGGGAGATGGGAACGCCAATCAGGACCACATGTTTCAGCAAAGGCGATTGGAGCTGTAGCCAGGGAAAGAGGAGTTCTATCACTAACCTTGGAGAAAACCTTTCCATAGGTGAAACTTTTTCTTTTTTTAATGGAGTCTCGCTCTGTTGCCAGGCTGGAGTGCAGGGGCGTGATCTCGGCTCACTGCAACCTCCGCCTCCTGAGTAGCTGAGACTAGAGACACGTGCCACCCCATCTGGCTAATTTTTTTGTATTTTTAGTAGAGACAGGGTTTCACAGTGTTAACCAGGATGGTCTTAATCTCCTGACCTCGTGATCTGCCCACCCTGGACTTCCAAAGTGCTGGGATTACAGGCATGAGCCATTGTGCCCAGCATTTTTTTTTTTGGAGATGAAGTCTTGCTCTGTCCCCCAGGCTGGAGGGGCAGTGGCATGATTTTGGCTCACTGCAACCTCCACCTCCCAGGTTCAAGCGATTCTCCTGCCTCAGCCTCCCAGGTAGCTGGGATTACAGGCGTGCCACCATGCCTGGCTAACTTTTGCATTTTTAGTAGAGATGGGGTTTCACCATGTTGGCCAGGCTGGTCTTGAACTCCTGACCTCAGGTGATCTTCCTGCCTCGGCCTCCCACAGTGCTGGGATTACAGGGATCAGCCACTACACCTAGCCTCTTTTCTTTTTTTTTTTTGAAACAGAGTCTTGCTCTGTCACCAGGCACCAGACTGGAGTGCAGTGGCGCAATCTTGGCTCACTGCAACCTCTGCCTCCCGGGTTCAAGCAATTCTCCTGCCTCAGCCTCCCGAATAGCTGGACTACAGGCATATGCCACCACGCCCAGCTAATTTTCATATTTTTAGTAGAGACGGGGTTTCACCATGTTGGCCAGGATGGTCTCGTTCTCTTGACCTCGTGATCCGCCCGCCTCAGCCTCCCAAAGTGCTGGGATTACAGGTGTGAGCCACCGCATCCGGCTGCCTCTTTTCTTTTTTTTTTTTTTTTGAGACGGAGTTTCGCTCTTGTTACCCAGGCTGGAGTGCAATGGCGCGATCTCGGCTCACCGCAACCTCCGCCTCCTGGGTTCAGGCAATTCTCCTGCCTCAGCCTCCTTAGTAGCTGGGATTACAGGCACGCGCCACCATGCCCAGCTAATGTTTTGTATTTTTAGTAGAGACAGGGTTTCACCATGTTGACCAGGATGGTCTCGATCCATTGACCTTGTGATCCACCCGCCTCGGCCTCCCAAAGTGCTGGGATTACAGGCTTGAGCCACCGCGCCCAGCGCCTCTTTTAATTACAAACAGGATCTAGCTCTGTCGCCCAGGCTGGAGTGCAGTGGTGCAATCACAGCTCACTGCAGCCTCCAACTCCTGAGCTCAAAAGATCTCTGATTTCAGCCTCCTGAGTAGCTGGGACTACAGGCACTCACCACCACGCCCAGCTGCATTTTAAAAATTTTCTGTAGAGCCGGGCTCTCACTAACTTGCCCAGATCTTAAACTCCTGGGCTTAAGTGATCTGCCTATTTCAGCTTCCCAAAATGCTGGAATTACAGGCATTTTGGCACTAGTCAATTTTTTTAAAAGGCATAGAAACTCACCAAAGAAGATACAGGGAGAGCAGATGAAAAGCTATTTGACGTTATAAGTCATTAAGGAAATGCAAATCAAAACCACAAGGAGGCTGGGCATGGTGGCTCGCGCCTGTAATCCCAGCATTTTGGGAGGCTGAGGCGGATGGACCACCTGAGGTAAGTTCAAGACCAGCCTGATCAACATGGTGAAACCCCCGTTTCTATGAAAAATACAAAAATTAGGGCCGGGCGCGGTGGCTCAAGCCTGTAATCCCAGCACTTTGGGAGGCCGAGGCGGGTGGATCACGAGGTCAAGAGATCGAGACCATCCTGGTCAACATGGTGAAACCCCGTCTCTACTAAAAATACAAAAAATCAGCTGGGCATGGTGGTGCGTGCCTGTAATCCCAGCTACTCAGGAGGCTGAGGCAGGAGAATTGCCTGAACCCAGGAGGCGGAGGTTGCGGTGAGCCGAGATCGCGCCATTGCACTCCAGCCTGGGCAACAAGAGCGAAACTCCGTCTCAAAAAAAAAAAAGAAAAATACAAAAATTAACCAGGCATGGTGGTGGGCGCCTGTTATCCCAGCTACTTGGGAGACTGAGGCAGAAGAATTGCTTGAACCCAGCAGGCGGAGGCTGCAGTGAGCTCGGATCGTGCCATTGCACTCCAGCCTGGGCGACAGAGCAAGGCTCCATCTCAAAAAAAAAAAAAAAAAAAAAAAAAAAAAAAAGAAAGAAAAAAATGGTCGGATAATACCCACTGTAGGTCAAGAGGTGGAGAAATTGAAGACTCATGCATTGCTGGTGGCAAGTCACTCTGGAAAACAGTCTAACACTTCCTCAACATGGTAAACCTCAGAATTACCATATGACTCAGCAATTCTAGTTGTGGGTGTATGCACAAGAGAAACGAAAGCAGACGTCCGCACACAAAGACGTGACACAGGGGCATAGCAAAAAGTCCGAATGGCTCAAGTGCGTTTCGGTTGATAAATGGGTGAACACAATGTGACCCATCTATACGAGAGAATGTGACTCAGCAGCCGTGGGAAGTTACGGGGCTCTGACCCGGGCCACGGCATGGAGGAACCCTGAGGACGCCACACTCAGCTCAAGAAGCCAGACACAAAAGGCCACCCAGGACTGGGACCGCGGTGGCTCATGCCTGTAATCCCAGCACTCTTGGAGGCCGAGGTGAGCAGCTCACAAGGTCAGGAGTTCGAGACCAGCCTGGCCAATATGGTGAAACCCCGTCTCTATAAAAATACAAAAATTAGCCAAGTGTGGTGGCGGGTACCTGTAGTCCCAGATACTCGGGAGGCTGAGGCAGGAGAATTTTTGTTTGAACCCGGGAGGCGGAGGTTACAGTGAGCCAAGATC